ATTATCAGACCGATGTCTTATGGTTTTCAGACACAACTGAAGTTTATGGTATGGCTTAGAAATAAAAGTACAGTCAAACCTATATATTTCGAACTTAATAGTACCAAGAAAAAACATTGAGATATCCAAGGACTCCAACTAACAAGGGTAAAATGCTTAGAGAATAAGTTGTTGGACTTAAAAATCACTTTGACATATCCTTTAAAATATTCAACACATCATTGTTTGTTTGAGATATAGAAGTTCAATGTAAACTGACATAAGTTTCAAAGTCCATAAAACTTGCCCTTTATATAATTTAATTTTGTTCATCATAAACTCATACAGTGTTATAATACTACACTTGAAGTATCTACATATGAATGTAATATTAATACAAATGACTAATATTGCATATATATTTTATAGGAACCTTTCTTCATTTTGCTAATCCCACTCTTCAAGAAAATCCCTGTCCAAATCAAATAATCAGAATCAAAGATCCTGATTGGAAGATTTTGCACCATCTTGGCATGCTGGATGATGAAGGGGAATTCTGGAAAATCAAGTATGATGAGAAATATGTGATTCCAGCAGCAGTGGAAGACAAAATTCAGATCAAACTAGTACTTACCAAGGATGCCACAGACCATCCAATATTTGGATCAGGTGCCATCTACAGGAGAGCAGAACTTTATAATGGAGGCACATACAAAGTATTATTCACTTACAAAAATTCTATAACTTTTTAAATGTACATAATGATAGATTTTAAAAAAAGGGTTTGAGGCTGCAATTCCTCTGATAAAACATTTATCTTTGTCTCCAATACTAGAGTTGTAGGATGACAAGTTCACAACAATTTGTTTGTTTTTTTAAATAAACATTAAAATGTGAAGATCCTAGAAACAGGTATAAGATTATTCAGATTGTTTTGATGTTGTTATTCAAGTTGCTGATGATATTATACAATTTTACATCTAACAGGTTTTTTTCAAAGGGGAAGAAATCCTCTTTTTTTGAGAATATTAAATTTGCTTTTATTTGTTTATTCAGTTTAGACTAAGAGCAGCAGATAAGGATGGAGATGCTGTAACAGAAATTTTATTTTGGGATGGACCAGAGAGAGGCTTTGCAACATTTAAGTACACTGAAGAAAAAGAATTCATTGGATGTGGATGCTGTTATGATAATCCAATTCCAAAGGTTATGGTGCTACATTTATTTCCAGCGTACAAACAACCAGTTATGAGAAAAATTGTATCAAAACAGCTTATGTAACTTGAACCTGGGTCTGCATTATAGATTAACAAAAATAAATTAACAATACCATGCACTGATAGATGGTATAAACTATGAAGCCCATAATAATACAAGTTTTTGAAGCAGGTTCATTTCAGCTACAAGTCCTACTTAAACAAAACTCACATAGATTTTGATCTTGGGATGCACACTAACTAGAAGGAAAATTGTGTGAGATATACTTTACCTGTAAATAACATTCATTGAAATGAGCTTCTCAATCTTTGATTACCTATATTTTCAGATGTGTGAAGGCTGCAACTGTACTGATTACATTCTTAACAAAGGTTTTCTTTTGAATGAGACTTTCACCACCACAACCACCACTACACAGGCCCCAGACAACAGAACCTACCCGCCTTATGATGTGGTGGATGAACAGGGCTCTAGTGTCATTGATAAACCAGAAACAATCCGAAGTCTGGCTTACGACTCTTGTGGAATACAAATCTACTCAGGTAGGGGTTTGAACTTTGTGCTGTGAGAAAATACTAATCCAATTTATATTGTTCATTATTTTTTTCCTATGTTTTTTTTTTTTTTTTTTGAATTTTTAAAAATTTTTTTTTTTACCAGAATTTGGAAGCTTAAATTCAAAACACGTAGCTTTGAAATATTTTCAATTTAAATGTTATTTTCAACACTTTTTCACATCTTGTTTTGTAGCTGATAACCGTTCTGATGCAAGTGCATTTATTGTATCTTGGTGTCGTTATGTTAACAATACCAGACAAATGAGCAAGTTAAAGACAGAAATCCAAATCAATCCCAGTGATGATTTTTATAACTACAAGATTGATTTTGTCGTAAAGAACGAAGATTCAGTGTCTGTAAGTAATTTTGAAGGTGAACAAAAAAATTTAACCACCAGAAACAAGATTTTATTCATTGACAAATAATCTTCAATGCGCATGTTTTCTTATATTACAGACCAAATGGTGTATGATGGTGTATGTGGAGGAAGAGTTTATCAATGAAATCTGTGATGTTCCACAGTTGTCCACCAATGCATTGTTATTTTTCCATGTCTTCAAAAGACACAATGAGATCCCACCACATGAAGACAGATTCAGTGTTTGGTCAACTAAAGCTTCTCTGTCTGGTCTAGAGATGCCCCCCGCTGTAGGGACCCTGTGTAGGTCTGGTCCTCAGTTCATCAGTTATACCAATCCTATCATGTTGTATGAAGCTGGAGTCGGAACATCTCCATTGTTAACTAATGCAGTGGAATTCACACCGGTACAACTTGCTGTTTAAATTGCTTTTATTGTCTAGAAAGTATTTTGCTTCATATATTGTATAGAACTAATGAAATGGAATGAAGATTTTGTACTGATTCTATTCTTTTACAGATTGATCATCCCTGCATTCCCTGTTATGGTGATTGCTCCCATTATGGCTGTGATGCTGACTGTAATGCCACAGTAACAGTTCAGAAATTCTTTACACTGACCAATATAAGCTTACCCTCCAAAAGGACAATCTACAATGAGACTGGACATCCATCAGAAGAACCTATCTCATACTACTTAACAGGTTATGAGATTTTGAATCCTTGCTTTGATCTACCATAAGTTTATGTAATGGGCTCATAGAAATGAAAAAATGTCTATTTCGCAAAATTTATATAAAAGAAATAGCAATGATGAATATTAACGTCTTACTTTACTTAATTAGTGAGAGGTACAAGTGGATCAGGGGACACAGCCATTGCCTCATCTGATGGCTTCTATGTGGATGACACCCCTCCTAAATATGACCCTGAACTCATGGAAAATGCCTTGTACATTGATGTTGCACAAGGGGAAAGCACACCAGCTCACTATCAGAAGTCAAATGACACAATTAAATGTATATGGAAGTGTGATGACGATGAAAGTGGAGTTGTGGTTTGTATAATTTTTTTTTTACATTTGTTATAAAATAATTAAATAGTTGTAAGAATACAGATAGCTAATTTTACATTCGCCTATATGCATAACATATCTGAAAATAAACATCAAGCACAAATGAAATTATGAAAAAGTAGTACCATATACCCCAAAATTTAATTCATTTCATAGGAATACACCTGGGCCATAGGAACAACTCCAGGATCTACAGATATCCAGAACTTCACCTCTACAGGACAGAATGTTGTCGGCATTAATGACCAGTTAGGTGGAATACTGGAACATGATCAGACCTACTATGCCACCATTACTTGTACCAATGGGGCTGGTCATACCACGGTCTTCACTGACACTAGAGGTGTGATTGTAACTCTGATCCCTCCAAAGGTAGAATCAGTAAATACAACCATCCCAGGAACTATCCCTTTTACAGAGGAGGTGTCCCCAAAAGCTTCCTGGCAACAACATGATCCAACCACTGTGGGCATCACCTTCACAAAATCTGATGATCCGTCTGTCAATAGATATGGTATGATCACAGAAAAAAAGATTGATATGACATACTCTTTGCATAAACTGACAAATGCTAAGGATTTATTTGTGAAAAAGGATGTTAATTTTTTTAAATTGAGTGTTAAGAATAAGTAAACATTTAGATCGTTATTTACAGATCTTTGTGTTGGATCTGAAGAAAACACGGATGATATCGTTCCATGTACTTGGGTTGGCTACAACATGTCTGGATCAGCTATAATCAGAAATGGATCCTTGTGGATAAATGGCAAAAAACTGGCAAGGATTTCAGAATTGAAGTCAGTACAAGACTATTCAAACCTGACATACCTTGAAAATAACCATTTTTTGATGCCAGTGGGGAAACAGATGTTTGTGACCATGCGTCTGTGCAATGAAGCCATGCTATGTACAAACAAGAGTCTAGGAGTTGTAGTCATCACCAACAGTGAGTCTGTGATAGCCACCTCCACCAATGGAACAGCCATCAAAGAGAGGCTCTCACTCTCTGTCAGAAAGAGGTCTACTGCTGACCTTGACATCTCAACTCCAAGTGGTAGGTTAATGTTTAGTACATAACATTGACTTAGTCTCTATGCTGTGGTTGTCATCATTCCTTGGAAAATATGTTCTCTAAAGATGCCTGTTAAATATTTTGTTTGTTGATGACAATGAAATAATTAATTTTATTGTATAAGTTACTTATAATCTTTGAAATGAAATATGATTAATACTGAATTATATCTCTCCCTTACCCCCTCCTCGTCAACCCCACCCCACACACAAAGTTGGAGGACTTTCAGTAAAATCTTTACTCGGTTCATTATGGTCCCACTCTCATGTGAATAAGTACTGAAAAGAAACCCTTACTTTAAAGATTATTCATGAGCTTAAAATATGTTATTACTTTGACACAAATACTTACAACCAGAGAATGTATATTCCATGTGTCATATTTTTAGCCCACTCTAGCTGTAAGCTCTAGTGTACATTGTGAAATTATTCGTGTGATGGCCCTGGTAGTAGGGTGGGCCAAATTAGGGATTGAAAGGTTTACATTGAAGCAGACAGGAAATATCTTGAAAGAACCACTGGACAAGAAAAAAAGAAACTTATGTGGATCCTTCCTATAGTAGTGTTGATTCTAAATTATTGAAATCCTGACCCATGGAGATAGGAGGGGGCCACAATAAGGAATCAAATATTTACATTGAAATACAGGAAAAATCTTTTCATCAAGAAACACTCGGCCAGGAAAGATGAGAATTTTGTGGAAGCCTCCTGGGTAGTGTACATTCTAAATTGTTTAAAGGCATAGCTCAAGAGGTAGGGTGGGGCCACAAGGGGTAAAATCTTGTGAAGAACAACAGGACCAGTTACTCAGGTGAGCATTATTGCCCATTAGCCTCTTATTTTCTAACCAAGGCCATCAAGGTCACATTAGAAAATTGTATTTAGGCACTTTTTAAAAAGAAATTACAGTACCACTCTAGGGGGTATATCTATAAGGGTCAGTGAATGGTGAGTCAGTAGTTACAAAGCTGACACAGAAATATCCTGAAATTTTAAACTTGACATATTAGTGATTTTTTTTTTCCAGATCAAAACAAAATACTCTTGATTTTTCAGGTTTGGTCTCTAGGCAAACAATAATTGTGACTAAGCTAACACAGAGAGATCTGGAGACCACATACAGTTCTGATGCCTCCACTAACTTTGTACCTTACATACAAGACCCAGCAACCTCTAATGACATGGTCCAGAGGCTTCTGTATAAGAGGTATATCAAGGGAAAATTGGAAAATAAAACCACCTTAAATCAAGAATTTTAAATGGGAACAAATTTACAGTACTCATGATGCTAAGAAATACAACATAAATTGTATATACATGTACAGTACATATGATTTCCAGGATGCATAGTCAGAAATTTGCCTTCTCCTTTGTATCACTTGGAAACACTCCAATGCCTGGACCTGTAACAATTTCATATCCAAATGCTATGTCAGGAATTCAGAATGGAACAAGAATTATGTTGCTTCACTGGAATCCAAGTAAGAATTTGTTTACATGAAAAAGTAAGAGACCCCTTTTCTCCCCCCTTTGGGGGAGGTGTTATGCTATACTCTTGGCATCCACTTGTCAGGTTAAAGTTTTGAAAGTGTTTTCTATTTAGTAAGCAATTATTTGTCCAATATTGAGTTACATATGGATATTGCATCAGTATGATTCACTTTACCAGTCAGGTTTCAGATGCTGCATTTTTAGCAAATACATTCCATGAAATTTCCAGGTTGACATTTTTGAGTTAGGGTTGATAGAGCAGGTTTAAAGTTTAAAAAGCAGGTCTCATTCCCAAATCACCATATACTTGACAAAACTTGTATGGATTATGCATATAAAGGTTGCATATTTTCCAACTTGGTTAAAGTTGTTAGATTGGGTATACTCCCAACTTACTTCAAGTCCTACGTTGACCAAACTTACAGAAATAATATATCTAGTGAATTTTTTTTTTATTGTGCTCAAAATTATATCTAGTGAAATTTTAATATATCCATGGTTGAGATATCATTGTTCAAGATACCAAAGTTCAGTTGCATTAATTCCAAAAATGATTAAATTTATACATAAGAATTAAATAATTACATTTTCATATGGAAATTCAGATAGCTTTTTAAATCAAGACCTCTATGGATGACAGTTGGCTTATATAAAAACGGAAAGTAAAATCTTTTGTTTGTATATTTTTATGCCCCTATATACTTTTGTACAGTCATGCAGTACTGGGAGATCAGCAGTAAGACCTGCACTCATCTTACTGAAGAGGAACAAGAGATGCATGATCCTAACACACAAACAATTACTGTCAAGGTATACTTTAATTTTTAACAATTTTTGCTTTTTCAAAATGCTTTGCCATCTACAGCACTTTAACGTTAAACTGTAAACTGACATACACTTGGTGGGTTGTATTATTTTTTAGTATAGAACCAGGCTTTATACTTCAAAAGCTTTTTACTTACATAAGCCCTACCATTTAAATGAAGAGAGAAACAAGATGTGTTTGTGAAACATTGATGCCCCTGTATGGCAACATAGCGAAGGGTAACCCTTACAATTCAAAAGTTATGGCCAAAGTTAAAGTTTTCTCGTAAAAATGGAAATGGTCAAGGTCAAAATTGTTGGTTTCAATAGAAAGGTCTTGTCACAACGAATTGATAAAATATGAAATTCCTAAAATCTAGCGTTTAAAAATTAGGGCCAAAGTAAAAAGTTCGGATTTTTTGTGTAAAAATGTGTCAAACTCCAAGGTCAAGGTCAAAGGGTCAAGGTTCTTAATATCAAATGAAAGGTCTAGTCACAAGAATTAATTAGGTGAAGTATGAAAGCCATAGTTCTTACCCTTCAAAATTATGACCAAGGTTGTATTTAGAAAGTAGGTCAAACTCCAAGGTCAAAGGGTCAAAGTTCTTGGTATCCAATAAAAGGACTTCTCATTGGGATTACATATGTGAAGTATGAGAGCTCTAGCTCTTATCGTTCAAAAGTTATGGTCGAGGTTAAAGTTTTTTCACAAGTACTGAAATCTCCAGGGTCGATGTCAAAAGGTCAGAGTTGTTGGTAACCAATGAAAGCTCTTAACACAGAATATATATATGAATTATAACAGCCCTGGTGTCTGCTGTTCAAAAGATATGGCCAAAGTAAAAATTTGGAATTTTCGTGTTAAAGAGGGTCAAACTCCTAGGTCAAGGTCAAAAGGTCAAGTTTGGTGGTTCCCAAAGAAAGGTCTTGTCACAAGGAGTGCACATGTGAAATATGATAGTCAAAGCTCCACTAAATAAAAAGTCATGGGCAAGGTTAAAGTTTTTGTGGACAAACAGACAAAGAGACAGACAGCTAGACAGACGGATACACAAGACGAAAACTATATGCCCCGAAACTTCATTTACAGGGGCATTAAAAAATATAAACAACAAATATTTCAATGTTTGCATGCAGAAAAGAACTGTCTGTCAATTACAAAGTTATTGAAAAACTTCATAATAGTTGCTATGATAAATGTCAGCATCAATTACAGCAATTTTATTTGGTTTCTTTTTTTTTTTTATAAAAGAATGATCACATTGAAAAAATCATACACAATTAAGATCACCAGAAAATAAATTCATTAACCAGCACAGATTAACCTATTTAAAAGTATGTGCTTGTTTTCCTCTTCCCTGTCCTTCATCAATGTTTTGAATTATTTTATTTTTAGCTCACCTGAGCCGAAGGCTCAAGTGAGCTTTTCTGATCGAAATTTGTCCGTTGCCTGTCGTAGTTGTTGTAGTCGTCGTTGTTGTCATAAACTTTTCACATTTTCATCTTCTTCTTAAGAACCACAGGCCCAATTTCAACCAAACTTGCCACAAAGTATCCTTAGGTGAAGGGGATTCAAGTTTGTTCAAATGAAGGGCCACACCCTCTTCCAAGGGGAGATAATTATGAATTATTGAAAAGTTAATGGCATCTTTTAAAAATCTTCTTCTCAAGAACCACTGGGCCAGGAAAGATGAAACTCATGTGGAAGCATCCTCAGGTGGTGTAGGTTCAAGTTGTACAAATCATAACCCCAAGGGGTAGGGCGGGGCCACAATGGCCGATCAAAGTTTTACATAAGAGCTAGTATGTAGGGAAAATCTTTGAAAATCTTCTTCTCAAGAACCACTGGGCCAGGAAAGATGAAACTCGTGTGGAAGCATCCTCAGGTAGTTTAGATTCAAGTTTGTTCAAATCATGACCCCCGGGGGTAGGGTGGAGCCAAAATGGCTGATCAAAGTTTTACATAGGACTAGATAGGGAAATCTTTAAAATTGTCTTCTCAAGTACTTCAAAGCCATGATTAGTGATATTTATATGGAATCAATCTCAGGTAGTGTAGATACTAGTTTGTTCAAATTATAACCCCCCAGGGATAGGGTGGGGTCACAATGGGGGATCCTTTTTTTAACCTTAAAATATATTTTAAAAAATCTTCTTCTCTAGAATAGCAAAGCCATGATTAGTGATACTAGTATTTATATGCAAGCTTTTTGGGGTAGTGTAGAATTAAGTTTGTTCAAATCCTGATATAAATTTATTCAAATCGTGGCCCTTTGGGGTAGGGAGGGAAACAAAGGGAATCAAATTCAAATTTTTATGAAGTTACATATAGGAAGAAAATGTTTTTAACAAATCTTTTGTATCAAGAACAGCAAAGTAATATGCTGTATTAATATGAAGGCATTCACAAGTAGTATTAAATTCACCCCGCGCCTCTTTCAGTAAACTTTTCAGTTCTGATCTGAGTTGTGCTTTTTCCCAGCCAATTTGCTCAGGTGAGCGATGTGGTCCCTGGGCCTCTTGTTATAGATTAGATAAAATCTTCATTGCATATTTTTGTACAAAACGTTTATGTATTCCTAATTGCATTAAATTTCTCTCAGGTGTGCAATACATATAGTAGAGAAACAGAAAAATTAAGAAAAAGAAGATCAATCCAACAAAAGGGAGAAGAATACTTCAGAAAAGAAACCATGTTCATATTGGCTGATGTAGAAATGACAATGCATAATAAACCACCAGTGCTTAACTGCCAGAACACCATCTCACTTTTGGAAGATTCAGGTTTGTATCTTTTTACTGACTGTTAAGGAATGATGTTGACTTTGTTCAGGCTAGTCACTACTCTCATTCTCTTTGATAGGTATTGTCAATTACCAGCTTGTGGCCTTTGATCCTGAAGGAGATACTGTTCTCTTTGAACTACCTCACCAATCATTACAGTTTGGAGTTGCAACATTGACTCCAGAAGGATAGTAAGTCAATAATTATCTTAACTTAGTGGTACAATTTACTGTATTGGTGGTATATTATATGATTATAATTAATTTGTGAATACTTTTCACAGTCTCAGACTCTAAATATAGACTTAAGCGGTTTGGAAGCTTCTCCTATGGCATATGACAAGCTCTGCATGGCTAATTAGCATAACTTTATGTTATGATTACTGGGAATTTCAATTTTTTTTACTTTGGTCAAACATTATGAAAGATAACCTGATAAAAGTTGTATAGTTCAAATGCTAAAAGTCATAATTATTACGTGCGAATACATGTATAGAAAGAGTGATCGATGAAAGACTGTGAGTTATTTTAGAAAAACCAATTGTAAACGTATACAGTGGACCTTCAGATATCCGGATGCCAGATATCCGGATGCTTCAGTATCCGGACGATTTTTCATTGGAACGAAATTTTTAAATGTTATTCTATCTTGTTTAACTGGTGATTCAGATATCCGGATGCTTCACATATCCGGACAAATTGACTGGGAACCAAAGCGTCCGGATAAATGAGGGTCCATTGTATAAACATTAATAAATTGTTCTTTATTATTTATAATAAACTCTTAATAATTCAACATGAACTGTTTCTTTTTAGCTTTTCCTACAGTCCATGCCAGGATTGTTCTGGTGTAGAATACATCAATATCGTTATGTATGAAATAGATGAAGACATTGATCCACAGAATTCATCAGACATTCTAGAAATTCATATAGAGGAGGTTAATGATCCTCCTATTGTTTTTCTGCTTTACAATGGCCAGTCAATACTTCACGATGATCCAACAGAACCTATCACTGTAAGCAGTATGTACTATGTACATTATAGGTAAAAAGTAACAACAGTCCTTCAAAGATATTGTTAACATTGCTAAAAGACATATTTGTTGTGTAGAAAACAATTGAAAACTTCCTTCTTTCACAATTTTCAATATTGATTTTTTCCAGGTTTTGCTTGAAGCCAAAAATGACTTTAACACTGAAAAATGGAATGATACATGGCAGGCCGTGCTGGGAGCATATGATGTAGAGGAACATGATCATATTCAGCTGCATTCTCCTGCAACTTTTCTAGCAAACTTCTCAGTTTTTGGACAGACAAACAGAAATCCCAAAATTCCAGAGAACAAGAAGGATTGTACAAAACATGTTCCCAATTCTGTAAATATTTTTTATGTATAATTATAAGTTAAGCATCATAAAAGTCAAGATAGTGCATTACCCCCTGGCATCAGCATCACGGCTTAATTGATTCCCAAGTAATAAGATATTGTTTGAGCATACCTGTTTGGATAATGCATCTAGAGATGTGCACTACCAGACTTATACCAGATTCTGGGTGTGACCTACATTTTCTAAATGAGTAACAAGGTTAAAGATTTTGATGCAGATCCATTCCTTGTTTATTGCATCAATGGTTGCATACTGATAGATTTACTTTGGATGCTTGGTCTGACTTACATTCTGCAGATCAAAATTAATGGAGCATAATTTGTTCCCAATTACCTATAAGCCCCACAAAATTGGACCAGCTGTGTATGGATGATGCATCAAGGGATACACACTACACACAAGATTTGTTTGGATGGCTCTATCTGACCTATATTTATTGATTCCTGTTTATTCCTAACTAAATATAAGCCAAGCGTAGGCCAAACTAGATCTAATAATTAGTCCCCTACCGGTAAAACCGGAGGGAACTGTAGGTTTCCTCTGCATCTGTTTGTCCATCTGTCTGTCCCCATCTGTCTGTCAGTCTGTCCTACTTGCTTATCTAGGGAAGTACACTACTGACTTGCTTCAGATGTTCACATTTTCCATGTTTATGAACAAAAAGTTTAGATCTGGTTCATACCCATTTTAATGTACTTGAGCTTGCATGTTGTAAGGGATGCACATTACCAGTTATGCTTAAAAGATGGATGTGACCTACATTTTTAGGGGTGGGGGTGGGGGGTGGGTTCTAGTTCATTTTGAGTATCTCTAGATCTTAATAGGACCAAACTTTTGTAGAATCTGATGTTGTATCTAAGATACTTAATGAGATTGTTTGCTTTAATTAAGACTTGTAAACAGTATTGATAACATTTGATAAGGGTGAGCTTGGTAATTTTTGAATGTGTATTTGATACAGATTAATTCTCCTGAAAGTTCTGTGAATGCAAGGAACAATAAGGAATTTGTTTTTGAAAGTTCATTTATATAAACATTTATAATTGATTGAATTACATGTAAAATATCAGCAACTGGGTGTCAGCAGAAAGGAAATACATTAGTGTGCAATCTTAAATCTGTATGTAACTCATTGTGATACTGTAATCCAGTTATTAAATTTTTGACAGATACTTCAACCATGTGCGGTCAACTTTACTGATAAATTGCCTCACAGTGCAGAGAAAATGTCCTGGCTAAGTTATACTGTAGAGTTTTCTCAACCAATGAACCAATTTGGAAATCTGACAACTAGCTTCTTCTTTGTGGACAGTTCAAATGGCACATCTCTACCAGTGACCATCAGATTCGGGATTATGGAATCTCCATGTCACAATATGGGAACTTGTCAACGTAAGCTTCTGCCTCAATATAGTTACTTAGTTGTTCAAAATGAAGATAATAGTTCAAAATTGATTATTTACAAATTGATTACTTACAATTTGATATATAACTGTCAAAAGTTAGAGATCAACCTCTACTTGTTCAAATTAATTTTTTTTAAAAAAAGGAGCTGGGGGGGGGGGGATTAAATATAGGAATTAGTAATGAAGAACTGTTATCTAGTAGTTTTTTAATTTAGATAATTTTATTTTTTGGTTTTGTGTTAGTGAAATGATTGAGATAAAAGGACATGTTATTTGCTAGTTTCAATGTCCAAGACTTTAAACTGGGCCAAACTAACAACCAAGAAGAATTAAGGCACTATAAATGGGGAATCGGAAAAATCAAAATTAAAAAATCAATTAAATTGGAAAGATAAAACAGAGGTCAATCTCATAAGTCTTTTCACAAAAATATTCACATTTAGAGCTTAAAACATAGGCCCTTTAAAACACATAATGAATCAGGTGCCAAGGAGAATTAAGTATCCCATGTCCACTGGTCACATTTGACAATTATAGTGTTTTTCAAAAGTTCTGTGAATATTTTTTAAAGTCAGATTTTGATTTATACCACTTCTTCAATATGTCCTTGCACAATGCATCTGAAGTCTCTCCTTCATAGCTGCAGTTAATTTTATGGTGAGGAGTAAGGTTACAGGCTTGGTTGAACATTTACAGGACCGTTCAATGTAGTTTTGTTGTGTATAGATGTTTGTGAAGTTTGAAATCCAGGATATGAATGGAAAGCAAACTGACTTTCATAAACTGGATACCCCAAAACTTCTTTTAAAGGGCATAAAAACTGCAGTTTAGTATTATATAATCCATCTAAACTGTATTTGCTACAGCTACTGGTATCTATCCTTGCAATGACACGCATAGAACACAAAGTTTTGATGCCTACTACAGATGTGAATGTCTAGGAGGTTACCAAGGGAAATACTGTACCGAGGATATAAATGAATGTCTCAGTGATCCCTGTGTGGCACCCCTCATCTGTTATAATGAAATCAACCACTACCGGTGCGCATGTCCTCAGGATCAGCCAAACTGTGAGCTCCTGCCCTGGATGATCGCACTTATTGTGATTCTAGTTGTTGCTGCACTAGCTGTCATAATTGGTCTTGGCATTTTCAGATACAAGGCTATCAAAAGGTATACAAAAAATTAAATGTTTTCTTATCAGCTCATATGAGCAACTAAGGTGATTTAGCTATTGCTATCTGTATGTGTAAGTTGTACTGTATCTTTCAGGTTCTTTTGAATCACCAACTTCAACAAGATTTGGTTTAAAATATCAATGAGTTAAGGGGAAAATAAATTTATAATGAATTTTAAGGTTCTTGTCTCTTGGGTCTTTGGGGGGGGGGGGGGGGGAGTGTCAAGAAAATGAATTAATTACTGGTATTAATTTTATTACATGCAAGTCTAATGTATCATTAATAGAAAAAAATGTACACTTTATAATAGTATATATCCTATTTGAAACAATAACATACACCACTCAGAAAAGTTTCCCTTAATATTACGGGTATGTGAAGGTTAGAATTTCCATCGCAAAGATTCTTTTTCGAATGTTCTATAATAAAACTTACCAATAATGTTTTTTAATTAAGTTAGATTTTTTTTCCATTTTGATTTTAATTAATTTTATTTAATTTTTTTTTTTTGCAGAAAAGAAGAATATGGAAAAATGTATGTATTTTTTCATTTGCAGAACCTACCTTTTCTGATAAGTAGAATCATCCTTAAGTAGTACCCATTAATAACAAAGCTTCGCAACATTATTCATTAATCAGTCTTTTATGAAAATAAAGGCTTCTTTTAAATGCTTCCATTTTGTATGCATTACATTTGATAGAATGATTGCACATTTGAGCTGTTTTTTTCTGATGCCCTTTTCACACGGAGAGTTTAATTTGATGCAAATTAATATGAAGTAAAATAATGTGAATTAAAATAAATGTGAATTAAATTGCATTCACAAGACAGCTAATGTGAAGTAAATGCAAATTTTAAATTTCATTTCTACTGATGCAGTAAGGTTTTTCAAAAGGGCTATTATGATGTCATTTTCATATCACATCAAATTGTGCCAAGCAGATCTATTTGACATACAATTGATCCTATTATGGTGTCTGTATCTGCACATTCTCATGAAAAAATTTCTTTGTTTTTCACTCAAAAATAGCTAAGATTCCAATATCTGACCACTGAAATGTAGCACATTACTTAATTCGGTTGTTTTGCAATCTACATGTATATACATATTAAATTTCATAAACTTATATTTTGCATGAGAATTAGCTAGGTGACCTTTTGGGGCAAATGTTGTGTTGGTTTCTTAATTGCTGTGTGATTCTTGTGAGCATGATCATTTATTTCGTATATTTATAAATGTTTATTGTTTTATATTACAGATTGCTTGGTTCTAAAGCATCACTTGAATCAACAGTCAGCTTCAAAAACCACATGACAGGTAAAAGATATTTGTGAATTCAACCAAATAATCTACATTGTTGAGATAACTTAGTTATGGCATGCCAAATTCACAAAAATGAGCTAAAAATAGTTTCACGGTCGATAAACCAAGTTTATTGGTTGTGAACATTAGTGTACGGACTGTAAACTATAGCTAACAACGTTAATCTATATTTTACATATGTAAACCCTAGGTAATGCAATAATCTATTGTCTAAGTCACATTTAAGTCAATGGTCGGGCGACTCAATTTTTCTGGTCTTGTCGGCTGAAAGAACATGATCGCCCAACACTAGTATCAGGCGACACGGAGCAGTCACATTAATTTCTTGGAACACTGATGACTTTGATAAATAACACAAAACATCTTTTCTTTAGAAATCAGCAATATTTTTCATAGATCTATATTCAGATAGGTGACATGAGTAATGTTTGCAAGGCAAAGTAGCAGAATTTTGTAAGATTTTGACTCAATGTTGAAAATGTGTGCAAAATATTGTATAGAATTGCATAAAAAATGACAAATGGCGCATATCTAAGCAGCAAAGAATACTTAAAATATCTTTAAATACATTACAAATTATTATCTATGTTATTTCCGTTCAAAAATATATATCAATCCGTGCATCAAAATTTCGTTCGTATTATGTATCCCTCATAGGTTAAATATTCACAAGTCAGCCAATCGTCGCCCGATCATCAAGCTCTGAGCTACAGTTTCATTTTAACCGTCGGTCGAAATTTTGGACACCCTTATTGTCGAACGACAGACGACCAACTTCCTAAATTGACCGCTGATGATTGGTCGACAGATAACTTCAATTGAAGAAATCAGACACCGACGCAGAAAAAATTATAATTTTGACCAATGAACACAAAATTGGTTGTCCAACAAAAAGAAGAGGTCAAAATTGGGCAAGACAGCGGCCGATAAACTGCCGACTGTCACCCAAAAAATCCCATTTTTACTTCAAAAACTGTCAGCCGTTGTTCGTTTTTGGAAATGTGACTGGGGATTTAGTTTCAGAACCTTTTACTATACTTAACACTGAAAACAATCATTTGCGATTGCAAGATCATCTGATAAGTACAGTTTCACGTTTTGTAAAGTATGGTTTACAACTCTTAACTATAGTTAAAGATCTGATGAATATAGTTTCACAATTTGTGAAACTATGATTAACAACCCTTAACCATAGTTCACAATTGTCAATTATAGTTTACAGATGTTAATCTATGTTTATCAACAAAATCTATTGTTAGTGTTTTATTACAGACAGATAAACTTAGATTAGCATTTGTAAACTATAGTTAACAACCAATAAATATAGTTTTACAGATGAAAATTATACATTCATCATATGTAATTTAAAATTTCAGATGATGTAACAGATCCAGCAACCAATGCAGAGAGTTCTCAACAGGTTTACTAAATATTCCTCAGCAAATTTGATTATAATTATGGAATTTAAACCTAATTTAATTAGTACAATTATTTTATCACCACAAGTACTGTACCATTAATGATGATTAGTATAGCAAAAAAAAAAAAAAATGAATTTACTGATCAAATTTTCTTTGGTCTTTCTACAAGCTAGCTAGGTTAAAATTCTGTACCACAAGTGGTATATATTTTAGGTAATACAGTCATGTATCTTGACATTCAGTAGAGTTAAGCTCCATTCTCTACAGATAAGAATTAAGTCCCCCTACATTTATCTTAATGTCTATAGAATTGACATGGATGCCTAATTTGAGGTGAATTGTTTTCTGCTTTTTGAAAAGGACAGAGACATTGTGATATATGTTTATAATAATGTTGAACATTGACAACAATGTATCTTTGTTGCACTAGATATTCCTTGTCTTACAAATCTAACTTCTGGAAATGTTTACGTACAGTATAAATGTGTAAACATAAAGCTTTGTAAATAAGTGTACATATAAGCTATGTTTCCATTTTATACCTTTAATTTCTTCCAGTTTATCACCACTAAACTTTTTTTGTCAGGAATTTCTGAGTGACAGTGAAGATGAACAATCAGAAAATATAGATGTAGAGGACAAAGTTCCACCTATAGACACCACACAATCATTTGAGGTTTTTGCTCGTCACACCTCTACTACATTCAAACCCTTAATTCCAGTCGGGGCAAAGTCATTAATATCTACCAGAAAAGTTAATCTTACATCTGAAAGTATGCCAGAAAAATTAGGGAAAGAGGAAACAAAAGACTTACAGGAAAAATATGACGACAACCTTCCAAAAATAGTGTCTGCTAAGAAGCCAAAGCCAAGTTCTGGTCCCACTGTTTTAAAGAAAAGAAGCAAAGTCCATCCTTCTTTGGAACTTCAGTCTGCTGTTGAGGAAACTGTTTTGTCTGGAAATCAGGAAGAGCAGCAAAGAGGGGGTAAAATTTATCTTCCCAAACTGAATTTTTACAATAAAGTCAATCCTGAAGATGATACAGGAGAATCCAAAGTATAATTTTTATGAAATATATTTTATATATGTATAGCATATATCACATGTATTGCATATATCATATGTATACCCAAGAAGCATAATTTGTATCCTTGTATTAACTTTAATATCTATTGATCTGAATTATTATAACATTACTATATTTTTACCATTTTCATGTTGTATTTCTTTAAACTTTCATTTCCATCTAATTATGGAAGAATTATACAGAGGCTTATAGCAGGTACTTCCATTGACCTTTTATTGAACAAGTTAGAAAAACATTTTTAATACATGTATTATGAAATCTGCATGATTCAAATACTTTGCTATCAAGTAGATATCTATTCTTTTGAAATAGCTATTGCATTTATAAAATATGACTGTTTGTAAATAAAATGTTGCCAAGTATAATTACTTAGTTTTTCGGATTTGATGTTTTTGAGTCATTAGGGTCCAGCAAAAATTTGTGGATGGGTAAAAACTATTGTTATCACTTTCTCTCTATCCATTTGTTAGTCTCCATATTTTCTGTCCATGTTTGTTAAACACAAATGCCCTCTTAGGCAACTTTTTGCAAAGGTTAAAGTTTCTCACATGCAAGTCATGCAAACTCCAAGGTCAAGTTCAAAAGAACAAACATGTTACCCAAAGAATACACCTGCAAAATATGAAAGCCCAAGTTCTAACTGTTCAAATAGATGTGACAAAGATAAGTTTTTATGAAAAAGTGGATCAAACTGAGAGGTCGAGGTTAAAAGGTAAACTAGGAACTGTCCATGGGACATGACTGCCTAGCCAAGGGTATATTGGTAATGCAGCACGAAAATCTAGATAAGGGCATGAAATTTGTTAGGATATCTTGATTAATTTCTATAACATTGAAATCTAAAAATTAATTTGTTTATTAGATCAAAAGTGTACATGTGCATAAGCTTACATGATTATATCTGTAAAAGTTTCCTTAATACTAGTTTAAATGCAAATTTTGGAGAAGTAAGATTGAAGTTTCAGGAAAAGTCATAGTCAAGGTCAATTGCTTTTGCTGCAGTTGAATAGTTCTCACAAATACATAACGTCATATTAAGATTTATAAAAATATTTATGTGCTTTATTTAAAACTGAGCTAAACATTAATTTAAAATTAATGAAGTTAAGGTCAAAAGAAAGGTCAAGGTTAATAAATTTTGAAGCAATTGAAAAGCTTACATCAGTATGTATAAGCATATGAAATGTTACAAAATATTATGAATTGTTTCTTTAAAACTTCAGGTCAAGGTCAAATGAAAAAGTCAATGTCAAAAATTGATTCGATATGAATAGGTTACATCTGTGCGTATAAGCATATAAAGTTGGACACTGATCTTAATAAAGTAAAAAAAAATGTTGATGCAGTTGAATACCTTCCATTAGTATATGTCAGCATGTGTAGTTTGACGACAAATTTTAAAAAAGTGAGGTCAATGTCAAAAGAAGGGTCAAGGTAAAAAAAATTTGATGATGTTTAAAAACTCTCATCAGTATGTACCAGAATGGGAAGTCTGATAACACTATCCTGAATGGTTCCTTTAAAATTGAGCTAAATTAAGAAAAGTGAGATTAACGGAAAGGTCAAACAAGAGGCCCATGGGCCACGTCACTCACCTAATTACTGTGGCTAGAATCAAGCAAAATGATAAGGTCGTCCCGACTCTAAAAGGGGGTATGATTTGAACAAATTTAAATCTTAGCAAACTAACACTTTTATTGCAGTCCTACCCTACTCCCTGTGGTCATTACTTTAAAAAAATCTGATATACACAACTTTGATCATCCATTGTGACCCTTCCAAACACAGGGGAACAAATGCATGACTTGAATCTACACTACCCGAGGATACTTATATAAATATGACTAATCATGGCCTTGCTGTTCCTGAGAAGATTTTTTAAAAGATTTTCCCAATATATTCCCATGTAAAACTTTGACCGTCTATTGTGGTCCATCCCCTCTCAGCAGTCATGATATGAACAAAATTTAAATCTACACTACCTGAATATGTTTCCACATTAGTTTCAATTCTTTCCTGGTCCGGTGGTTCTTGAGAAGATTTTTGATTTTTCCTGTTTATTCCTATGTAAAACTTTGATCGGCCATTTTGGCCCCACCCCTACCCCTGGGGGTCATGATTTGAACAAACTTGCATCTACACTACCTGAGGATGATTCCACATGAGTTTCATCTTTCCTGGCTCAGTGGTTCTTGAGAAGAAGATATTTTAAAAATGCCATTTTCATAAACTCATAATTATCTCCCATTAGAAGAGGGCATGGCCCTTCATTTGAACAAACTTGAATCCCCTTTACCCAAGGATACTTTGTAGCAAGTTTGGTTGAAATCGGTTCTATGGTTCTTGAGAAGAAGATGAAAATGTGAAAAGTTTACAACAACGCCAATGACAATGACGACAGACAACGGACAAATTTTTATCAAAAAAGCTCACTTGAGCCTTTGGGGCATGTGAGCTAAAAGCTTTTAGAAATGTGTCCTCTTTAAAATTTGTTGCATATCCTCTATCATATATGGAAGGAAAATCACAAAGTTTTTCATACCCTAAGTCAATTGGTAAAGTTTGAGGCTGACTAGACTTAAAAGGCAGGAAACCATGATTTTGACCTTGACCTAGAAACGTTGTTTAAGGTCACTGCACATATATTGACCAGGGCACTCTCTGGGTGAAATATGAGCCCCATTGGACCAAGGGGAGAGAAGATATGTACTGGACAAAGATTTGTCATATAATTCTGCTATGACCTTAACCTTTGACCTAAAAACATGGTTCAAGGTCACTGCACACCCTTTAACAAAAGACACTCTGTGAGTGAAGTATGAGCAGGATTGGCCAAGGAGAGAGAAAATATGCTCTGGACAAGAGATCTCGGATGGACGGACAAACTGATCACTATAGGGCACCGCAGAGCGGGGCTCTTATTAAGGACACATGCAACGTATCTTACCTACTAATAAGTATTCAAGATATTATTAAAATTATTAATTTAAAGCAGAAAACAACGTAAATATGCATACACCTTTGTTTCTTTATCCAACCTTTGTTTAGAAGAAATGTACAACAGTATAATTTAGGCCATCTAAAGTTAATTCCTTGAATCATGGGCCTTTTTTCAAGAAATATACTGTAGATCACTAAATTTTCGCGAGATAGTCATTGACTCTTGATTAGCGAGACAAAATTTTCGCGAGTTGTGATTATTGCTTTATATATTCTTAAGGAATACTATTATACGCGAGAATCAAATTTTCGCGAGCACACTGTCTCGCGTAATTACGCGAAAATAAAGTTCTCGCGAATAAAAAGTGATTTACAGTAATGAGGGAGGGAGGCTTTTTTTTTTTTTTTTTTTTTTTTTTTTTTTTTTACATTTTATTGCCTCTAAATCATCATAATGCAGCTTTTTACAATGTTCACATCCTCAAAAATGATAAGGGAGGTGATTTGTTTTTATTTTATTGATTTAGCAATAAAAAGGGTCAATGAGGCACCCTTTGAAGAGATGAGGGAGGACCTGAGAACCAAGAAATTGAGTCGTATTTCAATAATGGTTGCAACAGTGGTCTATAAAGTCCAATATTGTTAAAGTTTGGACATGATTTGAAAATTATGTTTCTGGATCACTGCAGCTGCTGGCCTTGAAATTGTTAAACTACCTATGCCTTTGATGATATGGAACCTGCATGTAGATGCTTAATATAATACATTTAACGTATGCAGGTCAGAAAATAATGTTACCCCCACTCCTTTCATTCAAACTAAAATAACAAAGTTTATTAGAATTTATTGTCCAAATCTAATACTAGTACTCTTTCTCAGTAGAGTAACAATAAATGATCAGATATTTCTAATCTGGTAAGTACAATGTACTAATCATCAAATTTGATTTTCTTTCCTTGAAATGTTTGTATTTGTGCTTGCTCTTTGCGTTTCTTGCTTGCAATCCATGATGGATGTAACTTTTCATTCTTGACTTCTGGAAAAGAAAATTGTTCATAACAAAAATGGGTCGTCTTTTGAACTTTTTAATTTGATTAAATTTAGAAAAAAAGGATGCTATATTGGTCCTTGATGAAAACAATTATAACATAACACCTTGACAATGTTACTGTTTATACTTACTTTGAACACTTTTAAACAGGAAAAGTAGGTAGCGGGGTACTTACTTGTAAAGATTTTAATTTTTGCAACTAGAGAAGAGTAAAAAAAAAATCAGAAATAACAATCTTAGGATGACAAGAGTCCCATGAGCCACATCTTAGTCACCTTGACTTGGCTGTTCTTCATCAGGTTTTTTCGATTGTACTTTGATTACCTATTGTAGTATTGTGGCCCTTAACCAGGGGGGCATGAATTGAACAATTTAGAATCTACACTAGGTCAGTAGCTACAGTAAGAAGCTTCTATATACATGTATAAAGTTTCAGTTTTACTGGACCAGTGGTTCTTGAGAAATTTTTTAAAGATTTTCCCAATATATCCATATTGAATGTGAAAAAATACCCATAGTGGCTCCAGCCAACCCAAAACATAGGAGGGCATGATCTGAACAATCTAGAATCAACACTACCTCAGGAAGCTTCCACATACATTTTAGCTTTTCTAGCCCAGTGGTTCTTGAGAAGAAAATATTTGAAGATTTTCCCTATACATTTCAATATGAAAATTTGCATCTCTATTGTGACCCCACCCTATCCCCAAACATGGAGGGGCATGATCTGAACAATTTAGAACCCACACTACCTCAGAAAGCTTCCAAATAAGTTTCATTACATGCAGCTTTTCTTGCACAGAAGTTCTTAAGAAGAAGATATTTAGATTTTTCCTATATGTTCCGATGTAAGACTTATTTCCTATTGTTGGCCCTACCCTAACACCATGGGTTATAAATTGAATAATTTAAATTTTACCCTACCTTAAGAATCTTCTACATAAGTTTCTGCTTCAATGCTCCAGTACAACTAGTAGTTCTTGAGAAAAAGATTTTTAACTGACCCAACCTTTTTTTCATAGGTGTCAGAAGCAAATTAAAAGTAGGGGGTCTAAACCAACAAAAAAAGGTAAACCACAATTTTCAATGCCTATATAATGTCTATCTTTGCAAAAAAAAAGTGGGGGGGGGGGCTTAGCCCCCCCCCCCCCCCATTTTCGATGGCTATGTTTTTTGTCTTTAATTGATTATACATGTCACATTGTGTACATGTATCCCTCTTGAAAAGGAGGACTTTGGCCCTCATTTCAACAACTCCTATTCTCCAAAGGATGCTTTGTACTAACTAAACTTTGGTTAAAATTGGACTAGAGGTCCTTGCCAAGAAGTTGAAAATGTGGAAAGTTTACAGATGAATTGATGT